ACCAGGTAGCCTAAGTCAGACATTGTGCCACCGAGCAAAACTATGCCTTCATCAACTGATCATATTATTTGTGCTTACCTGGCTTTGACTCATGTTTCTCATAATTAACTTGCTTGCTCCTTGATCCTTCCCTCTATACTTTAAAATCTAAGAACATGATCTTACCCAGAAGCCTAGTTAATTCCTAGAGTCTCAGCGACTAGCAGTTCTCTGCAACTCTCATGTGACCTTAATTCCCAGATCTTCCCATCTTTAGGAAATTACCTATCCTCACTATTTCTACACGACACTTTCTGAAGGTACCCTAAATAAGGAAAATATGATGCACTATGACGATATTAAAAATGAGCAGAAAAAAATAAACAAAGGGAGACAATGAAAGGGAGAAATGTAGGGAGCCCTGCCCCCACTAAATGAGAGGGTAGACTGAGAAGACACAAACTCAACTAGAAGTATCCAGTCTCAACTAAAGAGGGAAAGAAAGCTAAAAGAATTAGCAATCTATGTTTTAAGTTGCAAAGAAACTGTTCACCAGAATACTCTATCTTTATATTTTTCTATTTGTCCTATCACCTTCCCATCTTTATAGGCTCCTAAGGGATGAAGAAACTTTAAAATCACCTAATCGGAGGTAACAAGTTAGCTGTATTGGAATCACTTATGAAACTTTTTGGGAAAAAACAATTTTCTCCTTCCCCTCAAATTCCACACTTCTACTTTCTCTACTCCGCATACTCCAAAACACAGAGAATCAAGAAAATCAGGATTATGAAGGCCTAAATTCTGCAAAATGCTGCAACAGAAAACTTAGTTTGGAAAGTCCATTATTTGACCCATGTTAAATATCTCCCGTAAAAAATTGCCTATTAGTGTTTGTCAATAATAGTTTGCTTCCTAAATAGCATGTTCTATTATTAGAGTTTAAAAAAAACAAGGTGGAGGAGGGAAGATATAGAGTTCCATGGGTTTGAATACCAACTTTTCTTCTGATAAACAGTTCTGGGCCCTCTCCTGGATGTCTAACTTATTATCTTATTATTGTGGAAATGTTCAAAGACATACAATAGTAGAGAGAATAATATAATGAACAATCATATATCCATTAATAGATTCAACAATTATCAACACATGGCCATCTCGTATCATCTATAAGCACCATGCCCCTAGCTCACTTGATTTTACTAAAGCTATAATCTATAACCTTCATTTATAAATTTTTCAGGATATATCTCTAAAATATAAGTGTTCATTTAACTAACTACAATACAATTACTACATAATGAGTTACTCTGGTCTCACAGGCTTCCCATGAACTTTCTCCTGTCTTAGCAAATATAGAGCTGTATGAACTTTTATAGCATAAATACAAAACATGTAGCTTTATGTTCTCAGTTCCAGTCTTGGGTCAGTAAGTAATTCCAGTGTATCCAGAAACCTCAACTTGTTAAGATGAAAACCACAGTTCACCGAGAATGGTGATTTCAGTTCACTTGTAATAATCTGTTTCTTTTAAGGGACAAGTGACTTTTCAAAGCTGGGAGGTAAGAATGTAGGATATAATGGGAAAAAAAAGTCATTTATAAATATTTATATTAAATTCAAGATAATCTATGTACATACAATACATTGTAGATGGATAAATGCATGCATACATACTGAAATGTGACACAAGGAGTAGAACTGTTTGAAAGTGACTGCTCACTCTGGATACACAAGGGGCTTTACCTTCTACCATCGGGAGGGCTGAACCTACACTTAGCCACTACCAGGCCATCCTTTCCTCTGAGAAAGGGACTGCAATGTCCCATAGTGCCTGAGAGCTCTATATTCTAAGTAGCTGCCTTCCCAAACGACGACTATAATCAGCTGATATCCCTAATTCAGAGTGCATGGTGTCAAATACCTGGCATCATATTCTCAGGCTTAACCAATAAAAAGGAAAGCCACATTTGGGGAGGGGATCTCTATTGGAACATTGATCCAAGAATGAATTCAGCAGTGGCCTGTCCTTGGCAAGATAAGACAATCAAGTAGACCAGTGCCTTCCAATTTTTAAAATAATTGCCAGAGCATATTTCACATTTTAACCATTTAAAAATATATAATGGCTTTCAGTACATTAACAAGTTTTTGTGACCTTCACTACATTCTTAGAACACCAATATTCTAATTCTAGAACATTTTCATAAACCTCTCCCAAATACCCATTAAATAGTAATTCTCCATTCCCTTATCCCCACCCAGTCCCATTGATGAATACCAATTTGATTTCTGTATATATAGATTTGCCTTTCTGAACAAATCATATAAATGGAATCACACAACGTGTGGTATTCTGGATCGCTTTTCTTTCTCTTATAATGTTTTCAAGGTTTGTCCATGTTGTAGCATATTCCTATTTATGGGTGAATAATATTCCATTCTATAGACATACCACTTTTGTTTATACATTCGTCAGTTGAAGGACACTGAGTTCTTTTCACTTTTTGGGTATTAGAATTAAGTTGCTATGAACAATATTTCATTTTAAGTTGTTCTTTTTTTTTTTTTAAGATTTATTTATTTATTTATACAAGCACTGGTTATAGTCAGAAACGCGAGAGGGTGGGAGAATTCACCAGAGCCAGTGCGGGGAACAGAACAGGCAGACCGACGAAATGCACTGCTGAGGGGAGCAGCGGGTGGCAGGAGAGGTCTGTGCACCATGTGGGATCCTCGCCCGGTGGCCGGGGATCGAACCGGCGCTGCAGAGGCTGTGGGCAGCTTCGCAGCCCAGCGCTCAACCGCTGTGCCACCAGGGAGGCCCTGAACAATATTTTAAATGGGCAAATGATGTAAACAGGCAGTTCTCCAATAAATACACATTTGGAAAATAAGCACATGAAAAGATATTCAATACCATTAGTCATCAGGGAAATGCAAATCTCTTTCCATCCATTAGGATGGGCTATACTACCAAATACTGGAAAATAACAAGTACTGGAAAAGATATGGAAAACCAGAACTCTCAGGTTGAATGTAAAATGGTGAAGTCATTAAGGAAAAAGTTTTGGTAATTCTTCAAAAACCTAAACTTAAATTACTAGCAATTATACTCCTAGCTATAGCTGACTTCTTTTATTTTTATTTGGCTTAAAGGTAGTCATTCTCCCTTCAAATACTTCAGGAAATGATTGCTATTTTGTAAAAATAAAAATCACAATGAGATAACATTAATGCAGACTACTAAGAGAAAACAATCTGACATACTTTGGTTTCAATCTAAAATGTGCAATAAGGGCCTCCCTAGTGGTGCAAGGGACTAATAAGCACAGAACTGTGAAGCTATCCACAGTCTCTTCAGTACGAGTTCAATCCCTGGCCAGACAGCGAGCTATCCACATGGCACAGCGGACCTCTCCTGCCTTGCCTGCTGCTTCCCTGTTCTGTTCCCCACTCTGTCTCTGGTAAATCCTCTCACCCCCCACATCTCTCGCCTGTACCCCAGTTCTTGTGTGCATAAATAAATCTTTAAAAATAAATAAAATAAAATGTGCAATAAGCTTATATTTTTTAAATTGAAAGGTGTTAAGATATTTTATTAGTAATTTGTAATCAGTATTGAAAAGTTTAAGAGAATTTAATAAAATGTATATCCAACATAGAGTTGAAATATATTTGAAAAACTGCACTAGCAGAGACTTTTCTAATCATGTCATCTAAAATATCCTTGTTTTTCATAAATCTTCATACTACTGCTTCTTTCTCTCCCAGATATACAAAATGGTTTTTAAAAGTCAACAATTCAAAATAAACCATGCAAAAATTTGCTGCTTCTTTTTCCCTAAATATTGATTCCCAACACCTAAAAAGTAGGTAAATGCTGATCTAATTCACTGAATTATATAATTCACATTAAAGTGAGAACGAGGCTTAAACACTACACAAATATTTTAAGAGAAAAATACAAATCTGTACAAGTATATACTCTATCTGGAAAGGAAACGTCTAAACCCTACTGCCTCTCTTCTGAGGGAACCTATCCCAGCCACTCTTAAATAATTTTTCCAGATAGTATAACTACAGGAACTCAGTAACTATAGTTCTTTCATTTTTATCAATATAGCTACTAAAGGAGAACCCTTTAAAAGGTTTTTATCCCTTCTTTTCAGGGTCATATATTCATGCATGTATATATATATTAAAAATAACAAATACACATGAGAATTCCTCCAACGGGTTAAAAACCAAAATTCCTTGTTTCCCCTGAAAAATTTAAAGACATAAGATAAAGTAGAACCATATAATGAAGAGATACTGATAAAAAATATCTTAAATGCCTCTCAATGACAGATCACTGACTAGAGGTTTTTTAAACTAATAATACTAAAAAAGATAACATTAGTAGCAAGCAATTTTTAACTGATCTAAACATTCAGTCCTGGGGCCTCCCCTGGTGGCTCAGTGGTTGAGCACTGGGTTGCGAGGCTGTCCACAGCCTCTGCAGCACCAGTTCGATCCCCAACGAAGGACCCACAAAAAAACAAACAAAACAAAAAAAACATTTAGTCCTTTACCACACAATGTAAAATTCATCGGATACATAAGAGCAAAGAAAACAAGACTCAAAATGCAAAGTATTTCTTTTACCTAATAAATTATGCACACAAATAAGAATTCTGTGTTCTACTACTAAGTTTAAGAAATTAAAAGGGGGGCCTCCCTGGTGGTGCAAGGGGTTAACCACCACACTATGAAGCGATCCGCAGCCTCTGCAGCACACATTCGATCCCCGGCTGGCCAGGGAGCAACCCACATGGCGCAGGAGACCTCTCTTGTCTCGCCCGCTGCTCCCCTCAGCAGTTTGTTTCAGTCAGTCTGCCTGTTCTGTTCCCCACTCTGTCTCTGGTGAATCCTCTCACTCCCCACCCCCCCCATCTCTGGCCTGTACCCCAGGTCCTGTATGCAAAAATAAATAAATCTTAAAAAAAAAAAAAGAAATTAAAAAGAAAAGACCATACCTGAGATATTTGGCCCTGGACTTTCGTAAGTTGAGTTGTTCGAATATTTAAAGACTGGCTTCTTGTTACAGTTGCTCCAGAAAGAGATTTTCCATTCACCTTTCTTTCATGGTGACAATTTGCTAACGATCTCTCTTCAAGAAGAACAGCATCCCAAGGATCTTCTACTGGCAAACCTGGAACAATTTTCTCTTCCGCATGACCTAGCACCTCCACATTGTCCATCTTAGGCTTGCTTAGAGGATCTAAGTCTAACCAGTCAAATTTACTGATATCTTCAGACTTTGGAGATACTTGTAGATTGCTGATTGTAGTTTTTGAATTTGTTATCTCCAAATCAGTCCTTGCTTTTCCATTTTTTAAAAACTCTGATGTACTAGCTATTTTGTCAAACAGCTTTGCCATGTCAGGACTGACTGTTGGACGATAGATAGGCAAGCTTCCTGGTGGATGAAAGGGTGCAGCATGTGTCAAAGGATATGAAAAATATGGAGACTGTCCTGGAATACTTAAATACATAGGTTCTGTAGGTGGAAAAGTGGGCACTCTTGGATTGAAGCCATTTTGGAATGCAGTCTGTTTACTACTGTAAGTTGACTGGTAAAAGGAAGGTAAAGAGTAAGTGGAAGGTGCAGATAGTCCAGGTGGCCACTGTCCTCTCTGAAGAGTAGGTCTAAGATAGAGCTGTGCTGAAAATGAAGGGCTCAGAACAGGAGTAACTGGCAATACCGGTGTTTTCTTAGGCTCAAAACTGTCATCCAACAATAGTTTCTCAAGTTCAGCTTGGCTGAGCTTTTCTACATCAATATCTACAGCTCTTTTTCGGGTATCTGATTCAGGAAACACCATGAGATCATAATCCTGTTTATTATAAACTTGTGTTTTTTGTCTAGTGTTGGTTGACAACTCAAAACGTCTCTGATTATCAGTCACTTGTCTGTCCTTTTGCAATTTTGCTAAAGCCTCTGCTTCCATTTGTAATGCTTCTTCTTTTCCCACATCTTTTGTTCTTGTTTGTTCCAGATGTGAAGATGAACACTGCTTAAATTCATTGTTGTTGGATATCTGAGCCATGTCCACTTAAAAGAATAAAACTTTTCCTAATCTATTTTTCTCTTGGAGCTTCCAAAATATCAAGACCTATAGGTAAAAATAAATATAACACTCATTAGATTTTTTTAATCTCAAATAGATTTTTTTTTTGCAACCTACCTTAGATGATTTAGGATTTGAAGTCACAAAAATACACTACAAAATAAAATGAACAGTTGAAGATGATGTGAGTAAAGGAACACTTCAAAAATATCTTAGGCATGGGCCTCCCTGGTGGCGCAAGAAGTTAAGCACCACACTATGAAGCAATCTGCAGCCTCTGCAGCACGAGTTTGATCCCCAGCCAAGTTCAATCCCCAGCCGGTCAGGGAGCAACCCACATGGCGAAGCAGACCTCTCCTGTCTCACCCACTGCTTCCCTCAGCAGTGTGTTTCAATCAATCTGCCTGTTCTGTTCCTCACTCTGTCTCTGTCTCTGGTGATCCTCTCACCTCCCCAACCCCGTATCTCTGGTCTGTATCCCAGCTCTTGTATGTATAAATAAATAAATCTTTAAAAAAAAAAATCATACATGAATTAAGGGAGATGTTCAGACATACATGACATTAACCCATTCCCTGATTAACAGGAAGGAAAACAAACACAGTAAATGAACTCAAGAAGCTTTCACTTCAGTTGTCACAATGTGGTTAACTAGTGGCTCTAGTGGCATAAATTCTTCTGGCATAAACACTTCTGGCAGAATTCTTGGCATAAAATGGTTTAATAGTTCATATATTTTAAGAGTTTTGTTAGGGTTTACTGTGATGTAACTATCAAGTCAAAATGGTTTCAATCCTTTGCTATTGATAAATTAACATTAAAAACATTTAATTCCTAGTCAATAAATTCAATGAACGTGATTTATATTAAAACTTATGAAAAATGTAAAAGGATTTGTAACAGTACAAAAATATTTAAAAGTATAACAGATTAGAACAAGATAAAAGTGTTAAAAGCTGTAGAAGCCATAATTCTCTAATTAAAGGCTAAATTGTCATATAGTTTTGATTAATGTCTGTTTGATCAATAGCAGTTAAACCAACAGTTACAATATTAAAATTTCTCATTTTCTAATTGCTAAAATACTTTTATTCACAGGCTAGAAGACAGTTTATTAAACTTTCTCAAAGATCAGTTCATAAAAATTTATACTCCTCTATTTAAAACACTAATTCAGACCAAGATTACCATGTGAAGTACTGTGACCACATAAAGGGTTAGTTATATATGATGTAACAGAGGGCAAATTCCCTGCTTCTAACCAATATGAGACAGAAGTTAAATGTGGGTTCTAGAGTTGTACCATCTTTTTTTTTTTTTTTAAAGATTTATTTATGTATACAAAACTGGGGTATAGGCCAGAGGCGTAGGAGGGGGGGATAAGAGGATTCACCAGAAACAGAGTTGGGGAACAGAACAGGCAGACTGACTGAAATACACTGCTGAGGGGAGCAGTGGACAAGTCAGGAGAGGTCTGCTGCACCATGTGGGTAGCTCCCTGGCCGGGGATCAAACTCATGCTGCAGTGGCTGCAGTTTGCATCTTAACCCCTTGTGCCACCAGGGAGGCCCTGGAGTTGTACCATCTTGATTTTGAAGTTGTATACCTTGGGCAAGTGAAAACTTTTCCACATGCCTTAGTTTCCCTACTTTTAAAATGAAAAAGCATCTCTATGTTATAGTGAATATAACGATACAATTATCCAGGCCTTATCCCAGGCCTGGAGCATAACATTAAATAAATAACAACCATACTAGTCTTACTCTGGCTTGAGATACACCTAGTTTGAATGCCTAGAAAGCAAGAGCACTCCTGTTTACAGCCCAAGATCTTTTTCCATCATAGTGCTTGTCTATAGTATTTGCTCAATAAATGCTTAATGAAAGGCGGCTTGGAAACACCCTATGTGAATTCAAACTAATATAACACACAGAAAGTCCAAGTGTTGAAGCAATGTCCTCATCACTTTTCATTTCATCATATATGAGAAAATGATTAGAGTTAAGGACATAAAGAAAGAAGTATCCAAGGATGACACCCTTCAAATATTACTTGCAATTCCTTTTACACAACTATAGCTGAATTTCTAAGATACTTCACTAAAAAGCTATTCCAAAATTTTCCTTGCTGGGGTAGACTGCAAAAAATAGGTTAAAATATGTATACTTTATTGTATGTAAACATTATACAAAAGAAAAAATGTAAACAAATATTGACTCTTGCTAAATATGCATGAAGTACATAAAGAAAAGTATTGACGCCTATCAATTACTTTGAAATTCATCAAATATAATAAATTGATAGATAGGGGGATGGTAGATGGATAAATATGTGATAAGACAAGTATAAGAAAATGTTAATGATAGCCTCCAGATGGTAAATACATGGGTATTTACTCTGAAATTCTTTCAATTGGCTGCTTGAATGAAAATTTTCACAATAAAATGTAGAAGGGGGTAAAATGGGCACAAATTCTTCCCATTCCAGCACACACACCCCTTTGCAATGCGACTTTATTGTTCTCATTCAAAGGTGGAATCTATTTCTTGATGCAGCCTGTGATGGTCCTGTGACTTGCTTCGGCCAATCAAATGTTAAAGAAGTGACACTGTAGGCATTCCAAGTTAGGTTATAAGAGACCTTACTCCTTCTGCTCTTCTTTCTTGAACAGCAACCACCAGCAGGTGAGTATTCATGGACAGTAAGTGAGCATAGAGGCCCAGGCAATAGTCAGCACAGATCACCAGAAATGTGGGTGAAGTCACCATTTTAGACATTACATCCAGAGCCCATTCTGAGCCCCCTCAGCCACATGAGTGATCCAAGTCAAAACAACAGAAGAAACCATCCAGCCCAAGTTCAGAGGCAAATTGCTAACTTAGAGGATAATTCTGGACTGGTTACAAAGCAATAGATAACTGATAAATTTTTTTCTCCTTCCTTTAGAAAACAAAACTGAAGTGAGTTACCTACTTCACAACGAATTTCTGTGTTTTAACTTGCCCCCCACCACTGTCATCTTCCTTCACTTGTCCTCAGAGAATGAATAGCTCCCTTTTCCTTTCTGAAGCTGTCCCCTCCATTTATATCCTTAATCCCACTGAATTCCCCTACTTCTATATCAATGATTGTCTCCCTCGCATTGTTAATTTCTCCTTTACTTGCTCCTGTTCCTCAACCATGAAAACGTTCAGACTTTCTCCATACTGAGAGAGAAAAAAAATCTTAATATACCCATTCAGACTCCAATGGCTTGCATTTTAATTTTCTCTCTTCCCTGCCAAATTTCTCAAATGCATGACCTAGAAAGTCCTTTCTTTAATCATTCTGTCCTGGAAAAATTCTCCTTCTCCTTCAGGACCCAATTCAAATACGGTCTCCTTTCAGAAGCTTTTAAGTAGCTCCTATCACGATTCATCTTTTAGCTGAGAAAATTATATTTAATTTTGTAGACTTTATGCTGTTTTTGCCTGCTTAGCAACCTTTCTTCCAAAAACTTCTTTTCTGGAATCTACTTATCTCCCTTTTATTCCTCTTAATCCACATAGGGTGGACCATCCTCCCCCTTACCCAGGCCCACAAAGAGGATCCAAGTCTGGCCAATCAGAGTTAACCCTATTGTAGTTGCTAAGATGATAGGATGTAGGTTTGGTACTGTAGTAACCATCGTTGCCACCACTTGAGGAGATGATTTCTGAGTGACTCTAAGCCACAGAGAACAGAAGATAAAGGAGATAGATTCAGGATATTACATTAAACATGTGGATTCAATCCATGCCCAAGGTCAGTTTATTCATTTATATAAGCCAATATATCACCATTTTGGTTTAAGTCAGCTGAAAATTACTTTCTGCCATGATCACCAAAATATCTTAATTAACATGGAATTTGGAATCTGTGTATCTATTCGACAGACTAAAATAAACAAGTGCAGAGATGACTCTGTTCATTATTTTCTTACCCACAACATTTAAAAGAATGTTGCCTAATAAATATGGAACTTAATTTAACAAATATATGTTTTAACAGGAAGGAAGGAAGCTTACTGGACAGTCTTAAAGAAGGGATTTCAGATGGTGTTAAGACTATGGATATACGGTAGAAGAAATGAGTCAAGTGTAATTGACTATTACTGCATACCATAAGACATGGCCTATTTTTTACAAAATCAAATGGGTTAGAATAAAACAAGATACCGAACTGTACTGCAATGCATCTTCTACAAGCATAATCCAGTTTGTTAACTGCCAAATATAAATGCCAGGAGAATACTTAATGAAATGAAAGAAGGAATGATATGATGGAAGGGAAATCTGGATTTTTTTAAGAGTGTCTGAGATACAGCTTACTCAATGGAGAATACACTTATTCCAAATATTTCAAATTAATGTCACCTCTCATTACTGACAAATATATAAAGTTAAAAAGTTTGAAATATATTTTAATAGTGCACATGGTGTTTTTTCACATCATCAGTTCATTTGCTTGCTCTGCTACTTGTCCAACCCAAAGCAGTATATGCTAAAGTAAACTCAACTCTAAGTAGCCAGTAATAGTGAGCTGTTATAGTTAAATTACCATATTTCATTTTTTCAAATGATAATTTCATATATACTCAATGGTAATAAAAGATTTAAAAGGTTACCTAAAAGTAATCAGGTGTTTCAGCTATTTTTTAATATAAGAAACAATAACAGTCTTTCACAAATTCTTCCAAAGAACAAAGAATGTTCCCTAAATATTTTACGTGGCTGGGCCTCCCTGGTGGTACAGGGATTAAAGTCAGCGCTATCAAGCTATCACCAGCCACTGGGGCACGGGTGGCATGAGTTCAATCCCCGGCCAGGGAGCTAACCCGGCCAGGGGCAACAGACCTCTCCTGATTCGCCCGCTGCTCCCCTCCACAGTGTATTTCAGTAGATCTGCCTGTTCTGCTCCCCACTCTGTCTCTGGTGAATCCTCTCACTCTCCGCCGCCCCCACTTCTGGCCCACACCCCAGTTCTTGTATGCATAAATAAAAACAAATCTTTAAAAAAATATTTTA